TTTTAAGGCTCAATAATATTCCACTGTATGGACGGGCCACATTCTGGTTTCCATTCCTCCATCGATGGACACTTGGGTTGCTTCCACGTTGTAGCTATTGGGAATAATGCTGCTCTGAACACGGGTGTACAGCTATCTATTCTATCTGCTTTTTGTTGTGCATTTCCTCTCAGGTCTGTGTTTTATTGATAGAACTTGTGCTCTAGTTGCCTCTGCATTTCTGTCTCTTGATGAGCTTTACTGATCCATGAATTCCAGGATTTCACACCACGTTTAAGGTCTCTCCCACCCCACCCCACCCCACCCCAGGCCACTAATGGAGCAGCACAGTGTCCAGCTCAGAGTGGGGATTCTGAGGCAGGACGGCTGGGTGGCCACTCCCAGCCCTGCCACCGGCCAGTTCAGTGACCTTCCTGGTCACGTATCTGTGTGTGTGTGCATGTGATGTGCTATCAGATAATGCAGAAGTGGTGGTAGCACGTCTCTAAACAGGATCTTATTTGGGTTAGTCACTGGGGACGGGCCCGCGTACGCCAGTTCCAGACTTGACCTTCGGCCGTCGGGAAGTGAAGCAGCTCCCGTGTCTCCACGGCGGCCTGTGCAGGTGAAAGGAGCTCAGGTCTAAACTGGTGGCCCGCTCCAAGGCTAGTGAGACCCTCAGATTCCCGGGGGGTGGGGGCCTGGCGGGAGAGGTCTTTATTTCAGAAATAATCACACATTCTTAAACAGCCAGAGCTTGCCAGTTACCCTCCACCGTTTCTTATTGCTTAGCTTGTAGCTCAGCAGAGTCATCCTTCAAGGGCATAAGCTTCTCAGCGTTTACCAGCTACCACTTGTCCTTCTGAGGCCTCCCAACCCAGACGGGAACTTGCTTTTCTTATCCACCACGGATTGAGCATCTCCTAAGTGCCAGGCACAGGGCACACAGGGTGAATGGGCAGCTCTCGGCGTCTCTGCGGGACAGACCTCATCCAGTGCAGCCATGGGTGGTGTTGACAGGCCTGGGAGCCTGCATAGACTGGGAGGGTCAGCTAAGCTGGGCAGCGGGCTGTCCAGGAAGGTGGGGGGGGTGGAGATACTCAGGCGGCCACTCCATCAGGAGGAAGGAACAGCATGTGCCCAGAGGTACAGACCAGAGGCAGGTGCTTATGAGAAGCGCCTCAGAGCTTTCTGGCTTTGTGTTAGTTAATTGAGTTTGTTTGCGTTTAAGGTTGATTTTTTTCCCCCTTTGGCGGGAGAACAGATAAAGAGATATGCTTTAGGGAACAGAAACACCTAAAACAAATTTCCTTAGGCACACGGGAGCACTAAGTTGTTTTGCAGATCTAATTTTAGAAGAAAAAAAAAACAGCAAAAACTTGGAAAGGAACTTAGATCATTTAATTCAACTTCCTTATTTTCATAGACATGGAAACTGAGTCATACCTGCATGGGAAGATAAAAATATTCTATTCCCCGTGCTGGGGGCAGTAGCAGCTACACACAGGGAGGGCGCCCTGGAGTTTCCTTCTCTGAGTCAGTACACGTGGGAAAGGCTGAGACTGCAGAGAGAGACTGAGCGCTCTGATGACTGCAGTTGTTTCCTGCCAGGACCGTCACTCCTGGAGTCCCCGTTTCGTGAAAAGCAGTAAGAACATGTAAATCTACCAACTAGAGAAGTCCATACCGAGTGTCTTTGTTTGCTAGACAGATTTGCAGGAGGGCTCAGCCGCGGCCCTCGTGAGTCTGTGGCTGTGGAGACCCCTGGCTGGTTGGCCAGCAGCCCCTGCAGCTCAGGTGCTCAGAGCAGCTGTCCTGCCCTTCCCGTCACCTGGCCGTCCAGGTGCAGCTGTCCCCTGCAGGGGCCTGGGCTCCCTTCCGAGAGGCAGATCGGGTACGAGACGGCCAGTCAGAAAGGTCGCTGCCAACCAGATAGCAATCAGATGACCGTAAGTGCTCATTTAAAGCAGTGGGTGAAATGATGAGACTCTTAAAGAGTATTGAAATAACAACCTTAAGAGATTAAAATTCTTTAGTGACAAATTCTCAGACCTTAAAAACATAAACTAATGTTATCCACTTGTCAAACTTTGCTTTGCAATAGGGAAGTAGTGGCTTACAGTTTTTAGGCTTTTGACCATAAGTACCAGAAATGAGATATGAATGAATCCCCGAGTGTCAAGTTTACGCCATGCGCTAGATGTCATGATGATCACAGTTTGGGTAAAATCCACGTTATTTAGGTTGCAGCATGATTTATGTGATGATAAGAGGGAAATAATCCGTACAATGGCAGGATACGAGAGGGAAAGGCAGCTCTGGGGCCTGCCATCAGGGAGCTTCAATTACTGTGGAATGAACAGCAAAAAGCAAGTAAGTAGGAAAAAAGAAAGGAACTGTAGGCTGGGGTCAGGGCAGTGAGAGACGCAAAGGGCAGAGGTGCGGGATGCGAGGGGCGCCTGAGGCCGGGCGGTCTGGGAGGCCTCCCTGAGGACGTGATGTGAACGTGGAAGCCCACAGGACAGGGAATCGAGTCTGAGCGTTGACTGCGAGAGGCCTGGGGTTGGGAGGCGGGCGATGGTTGGGGCAGAGTAGCGGGCCACGAGGTTGGAGAGGGGAGACCCACGATGGGAGAGCAAGTTCTGGTCCTGGCGGCATCGTCCGGGTCCCTGGACATCGGCTGTGTGAGCCATTCGGTGACTTTTCTGCTTAAGCTACTTTCACCTGGGGCTTCTGTCACTGTGGACAAGAGTCCTAGACATACAAGGGGCAGAGCAGTGGGATTCCCTGGAAGCTTCTTCAGCTGTATGTAGAGTTCATGCTTTATTCATTCAGGAGGAAGTGCTTCTGTGTCATGTATTTCCCCCCCTCTCCCCGGCCCTGCCTGGGTCTCAGTCCCTGGACTTGAGTTGTTTGTGTACTTTCAAAGCCAGGTGTGCTGTCACCTGGTGCCCTCGGTGTCAGGTAAGCAGCCTCACACCCAAAGGGTTTTTTTTTCTAATTGAAGTAGAGTTGATTTACAATGTCATGTTAGTTTCAGGTGTACAGCAAAGTGATTGAGGTCTATATCTATATATTCTTTTTCAGATTCTTTTCCATTATAGGTTATTATGAGAAGTTGAATATAGCTCCCTGTGCTGTACACACACACGGTAAAATTCTATGCTTTCCCAAGAGAAACAATCTTTAAAAAATTTACTTTCTCGTTTACTCGGGGCTCCCCTATTTCTGAAGACTTTAAAACTTCAGTGTGAATATATGGAGACGGTTGTAGTACTTGAATTTGCAGAACAGAAGTTAAATAGAAGAGTCTATGATGAATAAGATTCTCTAGTTAGGAGGTGAATATGAAGAGGAAAGCATTCACTTGATGGGCTGAATGAAAAATAAAGAGATCATCTCTAGGGATGACATCAGAGAGGTAAGCAGTGATATTTCTCATCTCCATCGAGTTACTAGAAACTCAGGAAAATAATTTTGAATCAGTTTGTGAAAAGTGAATCAATTTTCGTAAGATAGCAATGAACCATGGCCCTTGCAAAAACAAAGGTGGTAGCACAGTGTTGTCTGTGAGACTGTCAGCCAATAGTCATTAGAAAATAAGAATTCCAGTTGAAGTTAGATTCATGGTTGCAGCTAGATGAGTATTCTGATTGCTGTGGAATTAAGGTGATAACTGATTCACTTTGTTATACAGCAGAAACTAACACACCATTGTAAAGCAATTATACTCCAATAAAGATGTTAAAAGAAAAAAAAAAGAATTAAGGTGAGAAAATGGCTCCCATCTTAGTTAATTCATCCAATTAATATTTAAATATGTTTTCTGTGATAGGTAATGGGTGAAATCGTGGTAAACAAAATACAGGCTCTGTTCTCAAAGAACTCAAAGTTTAATGGGATGGTTTTCAGTCTAGGTGTGAATTGGAATCACCTGCACAGCCTGAGCACCTAGGTTTCCATGTGCCTGAATTGGAATCTCTAAGGGAGTGGGACCCAGGCACCTATATGTTTGTCTTCATTGTTTTAAAAAACTTTCTAGTGTGGAAATTTTCAAATATATATAAAAGTACAGAGACTAATATAATCAACTACCTTGTATCTATCAGTCAGCTTCAACAGTTTATGGCTAATCTTATTTCATCTACATCCCTACTTCCTCTCTTCCTCCTTGATAACTTTGAAACAAATCCCGTATATCATTTAGCTTCTTTTGTAATGAGGTTAAATGTAGTCACTTGAATTTTTTTAAAGAATAATTCCTTAATATTATCCAATTCAGCCAGTGTTCAGAATTCGCCAGTTTTCTTGTGTGTGTGTTTGTTCCAGCTGGGATCCACATAAGGCATGTGTATCAGTCAGTTGATATGGCTCTTAGGTCTCAGAATTTACAGGTCCCCTCTCCGTCTTTCTTTTTTCTTGCACTTTATTTGTTGAAGAAACTGGGTGGCTTATTCCGTAGAGCTTTCTACAGCCTCTGTGTTGCTGATGGTGTGTCCGTGTGGTATGTTCAGCATTTTCCTGTCTCCTGCACCTCTGCTAAATCAGTAGTTAGGTTTAGAAGCTTTTTTGTCAGGACTACATCATTGATAATTATGTGTCTTTTTCAAGATGTCAGGTTGTCTCTTTTTGTAATGTTAGCAGCCATTGATATTAGATTTCTTAACTCATGAGGGGTTGCAAAATGGTGATAGCCCCAATTCCATCATCCCTTGATTAGTTAGACTATTTTGTAAAGGGAAACTTTGCTTCATCTATTATTGGTCACCAGTTAGTACAGTTTACATAGGAGAAGCAAGATACCTTTTTAATTCTTTCCCTTAATTTACCTTTTTTTTTTGTTGTTTTTTTGCGGTACGCGGGCCTCTCACTGTTGTGGCCTCTCCCGTTGCGGAGCACAGGCTTCGGACGCGCAGGCTCAGCGGCCATGGCTCACGGGTGCAGCCGCTCCGCGGCATGTGGGATCTTCCCGGACCGGGGCACGAACCCGTGTCCCCTGCATCGGCAGGCGGATCTCAAAGATTTAATTTACCAATTTTTAAAATAATGAGTTGTTTCACTTGTCCTCTCAAGGTGACGAATAGGTGCTTTCTTAGTTTCATTGTGAACAAATTAGATGTGTTTTGGTCCATTGCAGTTATTATCTTTATTGATCTTTAATTGTCCATCTTTGCCCCATCTCTTCAACTTGGCTTCTGAGCATGTGTGTGTGCCTGTGCTTGCACAGGTGTGCATTTAGAAATTATTATTTTTGTAGCTAACAGCATTTATTGCTAAACTACAAAAAGAACCTCTGAGGAGGGCTGCCACTTTAATTGCTTACCTTCTAGAATCAGTGTTGACAATAGAACAATCAGGAGACATTTCCTTAATGGAACGTGGATGAGAAATGTGCCATAGTACGCGTTATGGAAAATTATTTAAAATATGTCCTCATATTAAGAGTTTCTTCAAACTCTTCCCTCAGCGTTCATTCATTCTTTACCCATCCTCTGGGCATTTCTAGGTCTCTGATTCACCGCAGGCCCTGGAGGCACACATAGGAATAAGACACTACCTACCTATCTGTCCAGGGAGTGTGTGTGAGACGGTTTACAAATAACCACAAGTTTGTGTCGTGTCATTAAAAGGATAGGGATGTAGGGGTTCAGTGCTGTCAATTCGTATTCTCACACACGTGCGCACTCATGTATATAGTCATTTTGTCACAACGATGTATAATTTGGTGTAAGGTGCTAGGAAATAGGAAGGCTGCATGTCGACTTTCAGTGTTAAGGGAAATGATGTCCCCTGAGTAGACAGTGTCACTGTGCTTTTCTTTGTCATTATTCAGCATTTACACCCCCTGCCGTCCTTTTCCTGTGTTCCTTCATATTTGAGAGTGCTGGTTTTTTGGGAGGGAGGGTCCTTCATGACCGAATTCAGATCGGGTTGTTCCTGATTGGGATCGTAACAGGAAGTGGTAAACAGTGGGGATTTGTCTTGACCCTTAGGATAGTGCTGCTTGTTAAAATGCAGAGTGTGATTCATAAACAATCTGTGGAGATGCTTTAAGGCCATGAAAAGTGTCCTGTTCCTCCTGTAAATCTCCCCTTTAGCTTTAGCGTCTTACTAGCGATTCCCGCCTGAACCGGTCTTCACTCTGGTAGCTGCAAAACGTTGGGTTTTTTTTCACTTTCCCACCCTGTATGTTTATCAGTCCGCCTTTGGTGTTCTACTCTAAGCAGGAGCCCTCCTGTCTCCCTTGCTTTGTTTAATATTTACTCTAGGTTTGGATTCACGAATCCCTTGTTTTTCAGTGGTTTGTTTTCATTACTGTCCGTAATTATTTTGGTGCTCAGATTGTCCCAGATTTAGGATTGTCTTCCATTTTGATGATTTAAAGGACTAAAAACTTGAATAATATTCTAAGAGACTTACGTATTATGATTATGGCCTATTAGTAATATCCAGGTTACCACCTTCAAGTCATATTATCTGGAGAAAAAGTGCTAAGTGCAATTCTTTGCACATGTACAGTGTTTGATCATTTCCCATGTGCTTTTGTGTACCATGTTACCCAGGACAGATGAATTTTATGAGGACTGAAGAGTACTTTTTTTCTACCTTTTCAAATTCTCATTTGATTTTCATGACAACCCTCTGATACAGACAAGGTTGACTCTACCTACTGATTTGTTCTCTCCCAGCTTAAGTTGAACGCAAGACTAATGACTGTATTCGCCCATGGGATTGGGGGGCAGTAGAAACCACACACATTTGCATGGTTCCTGTATCTAGACCGTGATTTGCTTTCAGAATGTTGCTTCTCAGGGGAACATGTGTTCTTGTGTTTGAATCAGTGCTTGGTGGTGGAGAGCCCCCTCTAACATTAGTGTGTCCTATGGAACATCACGTAGGAAAACCATTTCCCGGCTCTTCTGCCTCCTTGCCAAGCCACCTAAATGAAGCTGTCTTGGTGTTCTGTACGGGAGGGTACGTGTTCATTCTTACCCCATGCCTTACAGTTAGGTTGGGCTGGGGGACCCACCCGCAGGGGCTCCCTGCTTTCTCTAGGATAGGTTTCTTCAGACAGCATTTTAGGCTCATTTGTAGATGAACAATCTATCTTTTGAGATGCGACGCCCTGTCACTTCCCCACCCCATACCTGCGCTTCCATGTCACGTGATACCGGACCCGCCAGGACGCTTCATGCCTCTGTTGCTTTGCACGCCTTCCGTTATGCGTGGGAAGCTTCGCTCTCTCAGCCCCTCTGCTGAGTGAACTTGGACTCCATGTCGAAGCCTTTCTGGATCTTCTTTTCCCAGAGTTCATCATGCTTTCCATCAGACCTTGTAGCGTCTTTATCACTGCATATGGGCAGTTCTATTTCCATGCTTTGTTTATACATCTTTCCTTAGGAGATTGCGTTTTCTAAGGGCAGAGATGCACAGCTTAGCACAGAGTAGTGTTTAAATGTTTTTTTTGGACAAAAACGAAGCCCACTATAGAGCTTTCCAGTCGGTAGGTAGTAGAGACGTATTAAAGGGTGTCTGTTGGTGTGTCTCCCAAGTCCCCGATGAAAAACTTCTGACTGTAAGGTGTGAGCCTGCCAGAACTTGGCGTTATGGGCCCCGATTCCCCTTGTTGGAAGGTCTGTGTTGTGGCTTTTGTGTACTGGCGATGAACCCAAAGAGTTCTTGGAAGAGATTAAGAGGTTTGCAAGCCCCTCGGAGATGGTTCTGGGAGAAGTATAATTGCTTTGTAAACAATGGATGTCTGCTGAAGTGAGGGATGGCATGTACTGATGTCTGCAGTTTCCGTGGAAACACGTCAAAAAGTAAGATGGACTGATGGGTGGGTCAAGGGAGGCCCGATGCCTGGGTTTGTGATAAAGCAAATGGAGTGACATGTTGATGGTAGAATCCAGGGCTGCGAATGTGGGTTCACTGTGCAGCTCTTTCTACTTTTCTGAAAACTTGGAACTTTTGCTAATAAAATGTTCAGGGTAGGGATAGCTGTGTTATTCTTTAAGAACATGTTTATGGGCAAGGCACATCTGTTATAAACATTAAGTTGTCGACGTGACATTCCTGAGCCTCACTGACTTGTTTTCTTCCTGGTATTCCTCCTCCTCTGCAGCTGCCTCCTTCACATCTCGGTTCTCCCTGTAAGAGCATCCCCTGACCTGCTCTGATCTAGATGTCCCTCCTCTGTGACCCCAGAGCCCTTGGATACTTCTGCCGTAGAATTTGTCAGCCATACTATAATCGCCGACTAATCTTCTGTAACTAATCACTGGACTTTGAGTTTCTGGAGTGCAAAGACTGTTTCTGGAATGCTTTCGGCACAAGTAACAATAGACTCAGAATGGTCTAAACAAATAGGGGGTTATCATCTCCAGTTCAGGAGCCTGGAGGTTTGCAGTTTCCAGGATCGGTCCAGGCTGACTCTCCTGCCTTGCCCTCCGCGTGTCAAGTGCTCATGGGTTGTACAGACTGGAAAGAACCACCATGGTTGTTTCAGTTGTTGAGCTTTGAGCACAGATATTTTGGCAAATATCTGTGGATTTGTTGAACAGTCTTCAATCCATTTATTGTGGTTTCTTCTAGGGAAGCTGACTTTGTGTTTTGAAAATAACAGCTCAGAGTTAGATGTCTACATGTGTTTGAAAGCACCCCTGCCCCTAATCTGGAAAAGGATTTCTCCATTTTCATACAACTCTAATAATTCATGGAAGCAAGGCTGCTTCGGAGAAATCCTGTGAGGGGTTGGTGGTCTGGAGTTTCCAGCCTCAGGCACTGACCTCGGCCCTGTGGTGGCAGCTGTGGACCAGAAATTAGGCCCAAAGCAGCTTCGCCTTCCTGAGCCTTCGGGGGAGGCCGGCTTCTCATCCCACTTACCCTATTTTAGTCACAATTCAAATGTGCTTAATTATCTAGTTAATTGCTTAGAAGGCTTATTAAAAAGCACGTCATTAGAAAAGGGAGAGTGGACAGAGGGTCCAGCTTGGGGGAGCCAGCACACAAGTGATCCCACCCAGAGCAGCGGGTCACACGACTGGTTTCCATAGTGATGATGATCCTTGAATCACCCGGGAAAGCTACGAGTATGGTCAGTCTTCACTGCTTAAGAAGACAGGTAGCTATACTACGTGAAAAATAACATGCAAAACTACATACGTATGATCTCAGAAAGATGTTAAATATAGGAGTATATGGATTAAAATATAAGAATATACAGATTAAATTACGGGCAGGAAGTAACGCTGTAATACCGAATATCTCTGGGTGACAGGATTTTTCTCTTATTTTTTAAGATAGTTTTGTGTATTTTCTAAATTTTCTACTGAGCACCGAAGGGGGGGTCAGAATATGTCACCCCAAAAGATGCCACTTTGACATGAGGATTATTTTGAGCTGAAAGCAACTGCAAAGGAACAGACACAAAGAAAAGCTCTACCTTCCCCTCTCCACCAGGAAGGGCGGGGCGATCCTTAAGCACCCAGAGGAGGCCCCCGAGGAATCGGGGTAACGCCCCTTGCTCACAGCCCGCACCCTGCGTCAGTTTCCCCCTCCCGGAAGTGCAAGGCCCCCTCCCTTGTCTTGTCACTTCCCTGCAGCATTCGTTGTTCATTGGTTAAGATGCTCTGTGAACCCGAGTCCCACCACCCCGTGGGGCCGCCACCACTGCGCTCTCCTGTGTGGTTGTGAGATGCGCCTGTTCAGAAGCCTCTGTTTGTTTTTCTCTCCTTAATCAGTCTCTCGTCAGCCTGATTTTCAGGGCCCCAGCCAATGAACCAAGGTGGGTTTGTTTTTCCTCCCCTATTCCTTTTCATTTTAAATACTTAAAAAAGGATTGTAGACATTCAGAGTGATTCTTGTTCAACTCTTGGCCTCCTGATAATGCAGTTTCCCCACATTTTGCCTCTGCCTTTGTTAAAAATGATCAAATGATGCTCTTTATGGCGGCTGCCTGAGAAGTCCTACTTGTTACGGACGCCGACCCTCCTGGTGGGTATTTCCTTAGGTGTCTCGGAGGTCGCAGCTGTGGGCCCCTATCCGTGGGCTTTGGTTGTAGGAATCCTGAGCCGTCTTCACTGCGTCCCCCCGCAGAGGTTGTAGCCTAGCACCCTGAGCAGCCTGGGGTTACTTGTTATGTTGCTTCCTGGCTTTGGGGGAGTGCTGCGGTCACAGCTTCAGGGCACACTTTCCTACGGCCAGGGCTCGGGCAGACATGCTTCCTTGCTGTCCTCCGCTGTTGGTGCTGTAGGGGAGCAGGTACCGTCCCAGAATAGGTCTCTTTGGCATATTAATAGTTTTAAGCTGGTTATTTTCCGGGAAACAGCAGGCGTAGAAGAAATTCTGAAAACCAAGTAGGAGTCACCGTTTTGTAAGAGACAGGGACATTTACCAGGGGAATGTCCCTATGTAAGGGCGTCCCCCTCGCTGTACCAGGACACGAGGACGACTGAATCTCTAGCAGCTCCTAGGGGCGGAGAAGGTAAGGACTTGAAGAACCTTGCCCTTGTTTACCCGGCCTTCCCTGGTCACCTCTCACAACCGACTCTGCCCATCCTCAACATCCTCTTCTGCTTTGGGCGAGGACGGTATCCAAGGTGAGGGCTTCGGCCGTCTGAACAAGGTACTCAGGTTGTCTGGGTCTCTCCCGGGTCCACATGTTACTAGACTTTGCTGGATTTTCTCCTGTTAATCTGTTTCATGTCAGTTTAATTCCCAGACCAGAAAGAAGAGCCTAGGAAGGCAGAGGGAATCTCTTCCTCCCCAACAGTGGACCGATGTTTTGCTCGTCCATTCTTTTTTTTTAAAAAATATATTTATTTATTTATTTAATTTTTGGCTGTGTTGGGTCTTCTTCGTTGCTGGGCGCGGGCTTCTCATTGCTCCTCTTGTTGCGGACCAGAGGCTCAGTAGCTGTGGCTTGTGGGCTTCAGTAGTTGTGGCACGCGGGCTTCAGTAGTTGTGGCACGTGGGCTTCGGTAGTTGTGGCTCACGGGCTCTAGAGCGCAGGCTCAGTAGTTGTGGCGCACAGGCTTCATTGCTCTGCAGCATGTGGGATCCTCGCGGACCAGGGCTCGAACCCGTGTCCCCTGCATTGGCAGGCGGGTTCTTAACCACTGCGCCACCAGGGAAGTCCTACTCGTCCATTCTTTACCTGAAGGTGCATTCCTTCGAGGCTCTTGGTGTCCCTGAGGGACTGACTTGTGTGTGTGTTAAATCCTAAGTTACCCAGAGCAGCAACCACCTAGGACCACAGAAATATCAGCTCTGATTTTTTTTCTCCCCAGCATTGGGATTTTTTTTGAGCCCAGCTGTGCATTTCATAGAAGTTCTCAACCTTGGAGGTCTACTGTCATCACCTGGGAAGCTTTTAGATGTTCTCATGCCCAGGCTCCGATCCCAGGCATCCCAGACCAAACTCCATGAGAATCTCTGGGGATGTTTTTAAAACTGCCCAGGGATCTCCTTGTGCCACCGGGGCTGGGATCACTGATTTAAAATGTTGTTGTTTCTGTCATGCAATGGTGTGTGTGTATTTTTTTTTTTTCTACTGGCGGTATTTTCAAGTTACTTTGTCAGAAATAGGTGCCCATCGTGTCTAATAAGAAAAGAAATTCTCTTAAAATGAGATAGGAAGGAAACCAGCCTTTTTAAGTTCCTGTTATATGCTAGGCACAGGGCTTCAATCTTTCACATGTGTTATCTCATTTAATACTCAGAAAAATCCTGCAGGGTGGGTGGTGGTTTACTTGTGTCTGCAAATAAGAAAACTGGCTTAGAGAAACTGAATAACTAACTAGTGTCCAGGTCCCACATCTCACGAATGGCAGAGCCAGACTTGGGCCCGTGACATGCCCGAGCCCATGCCCTTTTTCCTTACGCTGTGGCATCTGTGAGAGAGATTTTCCATAAAAATCGTTTAAAATAAAAATTGGCACTTGGGTTATGCAGGAGCTTATGGTAGCTCTATTTTCAGTTTTTAAGGACCCTCCATAGCGTTCTCCATAGTGGCTGCCACAACTTAACATTCCCACCAGCAGTGCCAGAGTGTTCCCTTTTCTCCACACCCTCTGCAGCATTGATTGTTTGTAGAATTTTTGATGGCCGTTTCTGAATCGTGTGAGGTGATACCTCGTTGTAGTTGTGATTTGCATTTCTCTAATAATTAGTGATGTTGAGCATTTTTTCATGTGTTTGTTGGCCATCTGTATGTCTTCTTTGGAGAAAGGTCTAGTTAGGTCTTCTGCCCATTTTTGGATTGGGTCGGTTGTTTTTTCTTGATCTTGAGTTGTATGAGTTGTTTCTAAATTTTGGAAATTAATCCCTTGTCGGTTGCATCTATTTTCAAATATTTTCTCCCATTCTGTAAGGGAGAAAATTCTGTCTTTCTGTTTTGTTTATGGTTTCCTTTGCTGTGCAAAAGCTTGTCAGGCTAGTTAGATGCCAAGTTTCAGGTACCTGTTAAATGTGCTTACTGAGAATACTTTCTCTTGCCCCACCACGAAGATTGCTCTGTTCTACTCACTTTATCTCACTTCTGATGAGGCTAAACTGATTTTGAGTAATGGATTGTTGTGTTGGAAAAGTCTGCCTCATTTAGTTCTTAATGTAAATCAACGTGGAATAAATAATTTAGTTGTCTTCCTTTTAACTGTCCTGTGTCGCGAAGGGATGCTGATTATTAAAAGCAGGGCTCACCCCTTTTCAGAGCCCACCCTGGTCCGCTGGGAGGGCCTGTGGGTGTGTTGGAGGGGCGGGGAGGGAGCGAGGGTACAGAGATGCTGGGGCCCTGAGCGGCCCCCGTGGCACAGCTGGCGCGGGGGTCTCTGCGTGGCTCGCCGCCCCCTGCGGCCCTGTCGAGGGCGTGCGGGTTTGGTGGGCCACCCTCCCCCACCCCCCGTGATGGGGCGTCGGGTGCGCACGCCCGATTCTTCTCTCGTCTCACTTTCCCTCTGGTCGGCTCAGCTCTGGTTTGTGACTCGGCAGTGCCTGGGGGGCCTGGAGCCTGGGAGAATGACCTCTCTGGTGGAACGTCTGGGTCAGGCTTTTCTGGGGGGCTGTCATGTCATTTCCTTTGGGTGGAACCAGACCGCCTCTGAGTCTGTCTTCTTCCTTGGCAGCTCTTCGTCTGGGTCCTCTGGCCGCGTTTCGCAGAAACCCAGCAGGATGGCCGCAAACAAGAGCAAGAGCCAGAGCTCCCTGGCCCTTCACAAGGTGATCATGGTTGGCAGTGGAGGGGTGGGCAAGTCGGCCCTGACCTTGCAGTTCATGTATGATGAGGTAAGACACGCCTCCCCGTCGGGCCTGCTGTCGCCACGTCCCTCCTCCAGCTGCGTCCCTGGGCCCATTCCCTGGGGCTCATCTGGGTCATGGGGCAAACTGTGCTACGGTGGCTTCTGAGTAGCTTTCCAGGGGGTTCTCACCAGGGGAAGAGCTGCACTGCTGATGTTAGGCGAGTCATTTCGGCTCAGGCGGGGACACGCGGAGTCCCTGCTCGCATCGCTTCCGTCATTGTATTATGACAGGAGCTGGGGGGAGGTGTCGAAAGGGCGGGCCAGATGCGTAGCTGTCACAGCCAACCCATACAGGCACTGAAGGTGACAGCTGAGCTGCCCTAGGAGCCCCATCTCTTCTCCTTGCTCTGATCCCCCCGGTTCAAGCTAAAGCCCCAAGCTTGCATCACTTCCTGGGGGTGACGGCGCTGATGCCGAGTCCAGTGCGACGGCACAGGCTTGACGCCTGTGGAAACAGGTGTCCCTGCTTGACGGCCATGGCTGGTAGTGCAGCAGCGTGTCCAGACCAGAGCCGGCGCCTCGGGGCCTCTCGCTGGCACCCTCTTTGCGCGGCTCGTGCCTTCCAGAATTTGCGGCAGAGGACACTGTCACCACGATCAGCTAAGATGACCCTCTTTCCACCAGGCTCCGCCCCGTCCAGCTTCCTGCCACACAGGGTGTGCTGCAGTGACCGTGACATTTTGGGATGTGGCCAAGGGAAGCCGACTTAAGGATGCAGTTAGCAGGGGCCCTGGCCTTGTGATGGGGGCGCGGGGAGGGCTGTGTCCAAGGTGCCCGGCACGGCAAGTGAGTGGGCAGCGGCTCCAAACGCGGTGTCAGAGGCCAGTCTGGAAGGTTTTTCCAGGCCTCACGGCTCCTTACAGGGAAGACGGATGCAGGGCCTGAATTTGCCAGTCGTTCCCAAACCACCCTTACTAGGAACGTCACCTAGTCGTGAAGCCGAAGAAACCTCGCTAAACCGTCATGAAAGAAAAGCTCGGACCAGCTGTGCTAGAGGAAGGACGGAACTATTTTTCAATTCTCTGTAGGCAACGTCGGCTTGGCCAAACAGTGCGTTCGGGCGTTTCAGACCATCTTGCAGTGGCCCGGAACGCGCTTCTTGGCCAACCCAGTGCTTCAGTATCCCTGGCATCTGACGAGATGGTTCAGACGCATACCGCTAACAGAGTAGGACGGTATCGCAGAGGTGTGTCAGCACTCAACGAGCAAGACTGCTTTCTGCCGGATTTGGGGTGCGAGTGGTATTTGTAGTATTGCCATGGAACGGATCCCCACACGGACATCCGTCACCTCCAGTTTCCAGGAGTCTGGCCCAGCTGAGCGTGGTGCTGCCCCGGGTCTCAGGCTGTGGGGAGGGTGTCCGGCCTCCTGCCAGCCCGCGGACTGCTGGCGGGTGCAGGACGGGGCCCCGGCTGCTGGAGGTCGCCCCCAGTTCTCTGCCGCGTGGCCCTTTCTGTAGACAGCTCTTCCCCTGGCCGCTTGCCTCTCCCCGGCCAGCAGGGAGGTGTCTGGTAGCTAAGACGGATCCTTCCACACAAAAACGTGGTCCTGGGGTCGTGTCATCACGCTGCCTGTACGCTGTTGGTTGCAAGCCAGCCTCAGGGTCTTGTGCGCTCAAGCGGAGAATGCCGTTCGAGGGCGTGACCCATCGAGGGGCCCCGGAGGGTTGGTTCACCAGAGTATTTGTGTATTTTAAAAACTGTGTAATGAATTATAAGTTCTTTTCTCCTTCTCGAGAATCATTTTTGTATTTACCATTATATGTGTAATCTTGTATTCTTTTCTTAAAAGAGGGCCCTGCAATGAATAAGCTTCAGACCAAACCCAAAACCTCCGGACCATCTCCTCCGGGTCACACCCCACTGTATCTTATCATGAGAAACTTTTTGTTTGTATGCTTCTACATGACCAATTTCTTTTTTTTCTTTTTTAATTGAAGTCTAGTTGATTTACAATGTTGTGCTAATTTCTGCTGTACAGCAAAGTGATTCAGTCATACGTATATATACATTCTTTTTTTATATTCTTTTCCATTACAGTTCATCACAGGATATTGGATAGAGTTCCCTGTGCTCTACAGTAGGACCTTGTTGTTTATCCATCCTCTAGATAATAGTTTACATCTACTAATCCCAAACTTGCAATCCATCCCTCTCCTACCCTCCCTCCCCCTTGGCAGGTCTGTTCTCTCCGTCCGTGAGGGTGTTTCTGTTTCATAGACACGTTCATTTGTGCCATATTTTAGATTCCACATAAGAGCGATATCATATGGTATTTGTCTTTCTCTTTCTGACTGACTTCACTTAGTATGAGAACCTAGGCTCCACCCATGTTGCTGCGAATGGCATTATTTCATTCTTTTTTATGGTTATTGTAAATAGTGCTGCTATGAACACAGGGGTGCATGTATCTTTTTGAATTAGAGTTTTCTCTGGATATATGCCCGGGAGTGGGACTGCTGGGTCATATGGCGGCTCTATTTTTAGTTTTTTAAGGAACCTCCGTACTGTTCTCCACAGTGGCTGCACCAGTCTACGTTCCCACCAACAGTGTAGGAGGGTTCCCGTTCCTCCACACCCTCTTCAGCATTTATATACTTTTGTTTTGGAGGGTTGTTTTTCTTTATTTTACACTAGGGGCCAAAGTGGGGAAATCTAGCAGAATCTGTTTAATTTACGCCAAACTTTTTTTTTTTTTAGCTTATTTATTTATTGGCTGCGTTGGGTCTTCATTGCTGCCTGGGCTTTCTCTAGTTGCAGCGAGCGGGGGCTACTCTTCGTTGTGGTGCGCAGGCTTCTCATTACGGTGGCTTCTCTTGTTGCAGAGCGCGGGCTCTAGGGCCTGCGGGCTTCAGTAGTTGTGGCTCAGGGGCTGAGTTGCTCCAGGGTATGTGGGATCTTCCCTGACCAGGGCTCAAACCCGTGTCCCCTGCATTGGCAAGCGGATTCATAACCACCGCGCCACCAGAGAAGCCCACGCCAAACGTTTCTGCATAAAAGAAGAGAGGCAAGTTACAAAATCTGCCTTGGAAGTCTTTATTTGTTTTTCCTTAAAAATGTGACTTGCTTCCTAAAGATTCCTTATTTTCCTTCTGTAACAGGGGCTGGGGAGGAAGGGACAGGGAGGAGAGGAATCAAAGCATGGGAGACGTGGTTAGAAGAGCAGGCGTTAATGGAGATGGGGGGGATTCTGTGTGTCCTGCCCCCACCGCTGAATGACGGGCAGTGTCTGGGGACATTTGGGGCTGTCACAATGGGGGGATGTGACTGGCCGCCAGTGGGTGGAGGCCGGGGATGCTGCTGGGGTGCTGCAGTGTGCCGGAGGGTCCCACACGGGAGAGTCGTCCAGACCGGAAGGTCTGTCGCGCTGCTGTCTGGGGGGCGTCCTGGCCGGAGCCACGTCAGGGAAGGGGAGGCTGCTCCACCACGCGGTGACCGAGGGGCCCCGGGTGCCAAATCTGAGAGCGCGTTCGGGCCCCGAGCCCGACTCCGCGGTGAGGTTGGAGCCATCCTGTCTGGCCTGGTGGCTGACACCGCAGGAGACCAGGGCAGTCTGGACGGGATGTGTCACTTTCCCTGTGTATGTTTCTGTGTGTACAGCAAGAGGGAGGGGAGGAGCTGCAGAAGAGTCAAGAGCTTTTTCTCTTCTTCCTGGTTCCTTCAGAGAACCAAGGGGAAGCTGTGCTTGGCCTTAGTCTCTGTTTCCCATGGCTAACGTATGTGGGGACCAGAAAGCAGCAGTTGTTGAAGGATTGAGGGAATGGTAAAATAAGAGCACAGCAGCAGCAGAAGAGAGATGCAGTGCTCGTGTCGATTCCCCTAACGGTGCTGCCCGCTAGAACCTTCTGTGATGCAGGGGGTGTTCTGTGTCTGTGCTGTCCAACACCTGTGGCTGCTGAGCCCCTGGTGTCTGGCTAGTGGCTGCGAGGTTGAAGGGTCTGGCTCTAGAATCACAGTTGTGAAGCTTGAAGAGACCTCAGGGGTGACGGCCAAGCCCAGCTGATTGCAGACTCACCCGGGGCTCCTTTACCAAATCCCTCTGGAGCTGCAGCCGAGTCGTTCTTTTCCTGAAGCTCTGCCAGCAGTTCCGAGGAGCGGTGGCTCCCCCTGTCCGGGAGGCCAGAGAAAAGGAAACAGTCCCGTGCTCGGGGTGCGGGTTGGCTGACACCTCCCGAGCCACTCGGACCCTTTGTTCTTGGTCCAGTGCTTTGCCCTTTGTTTAAAAAAAACCTTTCAGCTTCTGTGGTGGAATCTCCAGGAAAGTTGGATCACGGGAGCAGCCACAGCCTCGCAAGTCCTTATTTTTGTCTAAGTTCTGACTTAGAAAGATGGGAAGGGACTGCCAGTGAGGCAGAGGGAGCGCTGGCCCTTGGAACCCCTGGCCTGATGCACTCGAAGACTGCTTAGCTGCCTGCCTGTGCCGGTGAGGTGAGGCTGGCCACGGTTGGTTCGGGCAGCAGCCACGCTCGCGAGGAAGGCGTGAGAGGCTGGGCTTAGACCGCGTGTGTGGGCGTCTGCGGCGGATCACGGCAGCCCTGCAAGCCGGCGCGGTGGCTCCTGCTAACAAGGAATGGAGATGCCAAGGCTGTGATCTAAGCTCCCACAGTGAGCGCCCTTCCCCGGCGCGGACGCATCACCCCGCTGCCGTATGGGGGACGTTCTGACTTCCAGCGTTAAAGGAGCGGGTGGGACTCTTGCTGCTTCATCCTTGGAAGTGCAGGAGCAGGCAGCCGAGGTGCTTTAGGGTGTATGGAGACCTTCGCACTGGGTGTTGCGGTGGTGTTTTTGGGGTGGTCATGTATTTGTCTCTCTGGAAGGACGTTAACAGGAGGACACTGCTGTGAAGCATAGGCAAATTTTCATATTTTCTCTATTTTAAGATTGTTATATGAGTGTAAGAGACTCTTGAGTTTTATTTATTTTTCAAATTAATTAATTCATGTATTTTTGGCTGCGTTGGGTCTCCGTTGCTGCACGCAGGCTTTCTCTAGTTGCGGCGAGCGGGGGCTGCTCTTCGTTGCGGTGCGCAGGCTTCTCATTGCGGTGGCTCCTCTTGTTGCGGAGCACGGGCTCTAGGCGCGCGGGTTTCAGTAGTTGTGGCACATGGTCTCAGTAGTTGTGGCTTGTGGGCTCTAGAGCGCAGGCTCTGTAGTTGTGGCGCGCGTACTCAGTAGTTGTGGCACACGGGCTTAGCTGCTCCGTGGCATGTGGGATCTTCCTGGACCAGGGCTCGAACCCGTGTCCCCTGCATTGGCAGGCGGATTCTTAACCACTGTGCCACCAGGGAAGTACCCTCTTTAGTTTTAGTATTAGGTTATCTTTAGATTTAAAATCACTTGAATTAGTAGCTATTGATTGACAACACAAGGTCCTTCAGAGGGTCCATAAGTTCATATCGATATTTTCAACTCGATTTTTAAATTTTTAAAAAATTTAAATGCTAGCTTTATGAAGAATTCACGTACCCTGAAATTCACATTTTTAAAGTGAACCATTCAGTGATTTTTAGTGTATTCACACAGATGTGCGGCCATCACCACAATGAAATCGTAGAACATTTGTATCACCCCAAAAAGAAGAGCCCTGCACTGTAGCAGCCATTCCTCATTACCACCTCACCCCCCGGCCCCCAGCCTGGCAACTGCTTTCTGTTTCTATGGATGTGCTGTTCTGGGCATTTTACATACGTGGAATCAGACAGTGTGTGACCTTTATGTCTGGCTTCTCTCACTGAGCATCACGTTTTGAAAGTTCATCCATGTTATAGCTGTATCAGTGCTTCATGCTTAAAAAAAACTGAGATGTAACTCACATCATAAAATAGACCCTTTTAAGCGTACAGTTCAGTGGTTTGTAGTATGTTCACAGAATTGTGCAACCGTCACCACTACTTCCAGAACATTCTCACCCCCCAGAAGGACACCCCTTACCCACGGGCAGTCCCTCTCCACCACAGATCTTCTGTTTCCATAGCTTCGTCTGTCCTGGATGTTTCATATAAATAGACTCATATATTATGTGGTATTTTGTGTCTGGCTTCTTTTACCAACCATAATTTGTCAAGGTTCATCCACGTTATAGCATGGATCAGTACTTCCTTACTTTTTATGACTGAATAATACTCCAGTGCCTGGATATGTCACGTTTTCTGTATCCATTTGTCAATTGATAGATATTTGGATTGTCTCTACCTTTGGCCATTATGAGCAATGTTGCTGTGAACATTCATCTACAAGTTTTTGTGTAGACATGTCAGAATCTCTTGGGTGTGCACCTAAGTGGGAAATTTCCTGGATTATATGGTAACTCTGTGTTTAACTTTGTGGGAACTACAGAAAGGCCGTGTTTTCCATGGCAGCTGCACTGTTTTACAACGTATGATGGTTCTGATTTCTCTGCCATCTCGCCAATCTTGTTATCGGCCATCTTTTTTTTTTTTTTTTTTTGCGGTACGCGGGCCTCTCACTGTTGTGGCCTCTCCCGTTGTGGAGCACAGGCTCCGGACGCGCAGGCTCAGCGGCCATGGCTCACGGGCCCAGCCGCTCCGCAGCATGTGGGATCTTCCCGGACTGGGGCACACACCCGCATCCCCTGCATCGGCAGGCGGACTCTCAACCACTGTGCCACCAGGGAAGCCTTTGTCCATCATTTTGATTATAGCATCCTAATGGGTGTAAAATGACATCTCATGGTTTTGATTGGCATTTGCCTAACGACTAATGATGCTGAGCATCTTTTCATGTGCTTATTGGCCATTTGTATATCTTCTTTGGAGAAATGTCTGTTCAGATCCTTTGTCTATTTTTTCTTCGTTTGTTTTTTTTTTCTTTGCCTATTTTTAAAGTGGCATTTAATTTCATTTAATGTTAAAACTGTCTTTTTATTATTGAGTTTTAAGAGTTAATTTGTATATTCTGGGTACAAGTTCCTTATTAGATACATGCTTTTCAGATATTTTCTGCTATTCTGTGGGTTGTCTTTTGACTTTCTTGGTGGTGTCCTTTGAGGCATGAAATTTTAAAATTTTGATAAAGTCCAATTTATGTATTTTTTCCTTTTGTTGCTTGTGCTTTTGGTGTCATATCTAAGAATGCGTTGCTAAATCCAAGGTCATGAAGATTTCCACCTTACGTTTCCTTCTAGGAGTTTATAGTTTCAGCTCTTGCATTTAGGTCTTTGATCCATTTTGTGTTAGTTTTTGTATGTGATGTGAAGTAGGGATCCAGCTTCATTCTTTGACATGTGGAGATATCCAGTTATACCTGCATGAATTCAAGTTTAATAGTACATTGCTATCATTAACTTTTTTCCCTGAATATCTTGACTTATACTATCATTAAAATAATTACTTATTTTATGTATAATGCAATATAAAGAAAATAACTTTGAAATATTCATATCATTGCTACTGAATAATATAACCACTGAGGGAAGTTCAACATTTCTTTGAATTTTTTTTGTCCTTAGTCTCTTTTAGTGGGATGTATTCTATCCAAATATTCTTTTTTAAAGTCTCTTGGATTAATTCTTTCTCTGTCGGGTTACATTACCAATATAATATTCATTTACGTTCATTGCTTCAGTTTTCCTGTTTAACAGCTTTTAAATCTGTTTTGTTTTGTCTTCCCAGGGTGTGTTTTCCCTCGTCTTTTATAGCTGCATAGTATTGCATTCTGTGGACCCCCGTCCTGGGCATTTGGGTGCTTTTTCATCTTTTGCTGCTGCGCGTGGTGCCGCAGCGGATGCCCTTGTATGTTGCTGTGCAGGTGTGTCTGTAGATTAGATCCCTAGGAGGAGGACTGCTTCTCTCGCTCGACTAGGTGTCGCCATGTTGGTCTCCGTACAGACTGTGCTGCTGTCTCCTGCCATTAGCAATGTGCAAGAGGTGTGTTGTCACACTTTGGGATTTTTGCCAGTCTGGTAGGTGAAAAATGGTATCTCCATGTAGTTACCATTTTCTTTATTAGTGAGGATGAGCATCTTTTCATGTTTAACATCATATGTGTGTATTTTTCTGTGAATTGTTTATGTCTGTTGCCACTTTTTCCCATCGGCTTGTTGATCTTTTTTTCCTCCCTGTTTCTAGTTAATATATAGTTCTCTATGATATGGGTTTAAGTACTTTTTCCCTGCTTGTCATTTGTCTTTGTTTATAGCGTGTTGTGTCATACAGAAGTTTTAAAACTTTTTATGTAGTCTAATTTATCAATTTTTCCTTACATGGCTTCTGGATTTTGAGTCATAGTTAAAAAGGCCTTCCCTACTTCAAGGTAATAAAGGGATTTCACCCATGTTTTCTTCTAGTACTTGAGGGTTTTATTCTTAACATTTAATCTTTGACCCATTTGGAGATTTTCATGTTGTATTGTTATTTAAGCTTCTGAGTACCTCTTGACCAGTTACTTTTCAGATGAGTTTTATAATTCTGTTGATTATGAATAAGAGCTCCCGTTTCTTACCCTTGCCAGTGTTTAACTGTAATTTTATACTGACAAGAATATTGCCAAGCGTTCTGCCCTCTGCTTGGTCTCTTCTCATCTGTAAAATGGGGATATCTGTTCTTATTGTTTAAAAACAAAATAACAAATGGTGGAGTTGGAAGCAACAAAGAAGCACTAGCTAAGGAGCTCTCTGTATCCTTAGTGCCTCACACGTGGTGTGATGATCCTCAGCGCTCAGTAAAGCCGCGGTTGATGATAAGCAAAGCACCCATATATTGAAACTGTTTTGGCAGCTGTTCTTTGTCTTAGAACTTTGCTACCTGCTAATCGTGTCGTCCGTTTGCCCAGTTCGTGGAGGACTATGAACCTACCAAGGCTGACAGTTACAGGAAGAAGGTGGTCCTGGACGGGGAGGAGGTCCAGATAGACATCCTGGACACAGCCGGACAGGAGGACTACGCGGCCATTCGCGACAACTACTTCCGGAGTGGGGAGGGCTTCCTCCTCGTGTTTTCCATCACCGAGCACGAGTCATTCACAGCCACTGCCGAGTTCAGGTGCGTCCGGGGGGCCCTCTGCCTTCCGTTCATGGCAGCCTGGGAAGGAGTTTGGGGCTGAGTGGAGTGCGTCTCAGGACGAAGTCTCTCTGAAGAGCTTGCTGGGGCTTTTTGGATCTTGGCACTTTATAGCTCGTCATTTGTTACGCTCTCTTTGGGCTTCTCAGGTTTGTAACTTCCACATGTAAATGATCTTAAGGATCTGTTGTTCCTCGAGAGGACGAAGCCGTTCCATACAGCCAAGAGCCGAGCCGGTAGTTTTGTTTTCATGTAAATCCCGAGAGGCAGGGGTTGGTAAGCGTTAACGATCTTTATCTTTTTCCCAATTTTGCTAGAAAAGCAACAGCTCTGCTCTACTCTGAGGCTTCTGAAACCTCAGATGTCGGCAGAGTGGACGCCTTGGGTCAGAGTGACCGTGTGCTGCTCCCTTGGGGACATTAGCTCAAGTGGGGCAGAAAGCACCGGCTTCAGGGTCACATAGACCCGGGGGGTCTGAGTCCCCGCCCTGTCACGGTACTGTGACCCAGGGCAAGTGTCCTTAGCGTTCTGTCTCTTTACCTGAAAATGCTCTTGTTGATGAGATGAAATAAAATGACACGTTAGACTTAGATTTCCTAAGGAGAACCCTTCATGGTGTGGCGGCCCCAGGCTCTTCTCACTGTGTGGGCACAAGGTGAGTATCCACCGCTGTAATTTATTTAACATCGCGGTATGTCGAGATCCTTGAAGTTCATTTTGTTACAAAGAAATAGTGAGCTGTGTGGGCCTAGTACTCCCAGGGATTCTAGTGGGAAGGGTCTCTCTCTTTCCCCATCCTTTTCCCATCTCTCTTATACACTTGTGCGTTTTCATCCCCCTCCTTAGAAACAGATCCATCCAGGTGACTTTTTATTTATTTTTTGGCCGCACTGTGTGGCGTGTGGGATCTTAGTTCCCCGACCAGGGATCAAACCCGTGCAGTGGAAGTGCCGAGTCCTAAGCGCTGGACCGCCAGGGAAGTCCCCAGGTGACTTTTCATTCTAAGAACCAGAACTAGAGTCTAATAGGGAACTAAAAAGGAAAAAAACAACCAGTAATCTTTTTTCATTCTTTAGCAAGTTCTGGTCAGAAATGAAGGTCATCAGCCCAAGGTGAGAACGAGGAAGCTAAAGGTCCCCCCAGGATGTGGAAGGAGCATCGGTGGGCGGGGGTGGGGGGGCAGCGCTCAGGAGCGGCCTCGGGGGAGACGGGCAGAGAGAGGAGTCAGGCGAGCCTCAGTTGTTGTCTTCGTGGCCCCAAGCCTCCCGAGGGCGGACGACGCAATTCTCGGCGGCTGTGGTGTGTGTGTCGTGAGCTGTTAGCCGGCTAGGACTCCCTGTGAGAAATCCTGTTATTCGTAGCTCTTCCTGATGTACCGAGAAGCTTCTGTAAGTGGCTATAGTCCACGTGTGCCTAGTTGGCTTTGCATCTACACGATCCTGCTGTTACGCCTTCTTGAGGACCGAACAGGATGGATGCACTCACCGCCCTGTTTTCTTCCCCGTCCGGAGCCTTGGGTTTCCCATCGGCCCCGTGAGTCACCCATTAAGGAAGTGCTGGCTGTGCCCCCACTCACTGCACACACACAGATACGCTCGTGCCTCCTTACCTCCTCCTGGGAGGAGGGTTTTGGTTATTATGAAAGAAGAGAAAGGACAGGTGATGACCTAAAAGAAAAAGGAAGGGGAAGTTAGTGCTTGTGGCTTGAACTCTGGGAAGTTCGATAAAAGCCCCAGGCTGCCCCGGTTTCCCACGGTGCTGGAAGCAGACGGATGTGGGTAGATCCTCGGAGCCCTTACGCTTAAACTCAGTTGCTTCATGCCTGTTAGCAGTTGTAAAACAGCATTTCTGCATTTATCTTCCAAACGGAAAGCCTCCAACATAAAACAAAATGTCAGTACACCCTCTCTTCCTTGAAACTTTTAGGCTTGTTACAAGAGACCAGAGCTTGGTACTCCTGTTTCTTGTTCAATATGTTTATCAATGAGGTGATTAGTCACGGCTCTGCAAGACTAAGGAGCCAGAATGTGATCAGTTTTTACTGTTCACCATGTATACTGATCACTAACTTCTAAGCATAGTGCACGCTCTTTGACCCCTGTGAAATGCAGAGTGTGGCAAAGCTCCTCAGAGACAGGTTTCAAGCATCTGCTTAATTTTGATTTTGCTTAAAGGGGGGGGATAAATCAGGAGCTTGGGATTAACAGACACACAGTCTGCATACAAAGTAGAGAACCAACAAGGACCTGCTGTACAGCACAGCCAACTCTATTCGCTATCTTGTAATAACCTATAAGGGTGAAGAATCTGAAAAAGAAGGGATGCGTGTATATGTGTAACTGCGTCACTGTGCTGCACACCTGAAACTAACATGACACTGTAAGTCCACTACACCCCAATTGTAAAAAATTGATATCTGGTAGTGAAATCGACTGTATGGGAAAAAATTTAAACGTTTTTATTATTATGAAATGTCACCCCATATTATATAAAAGTCAGTGCAAGTCCCCACCAAATACGTTTTTGAAGGGGTCTCTTTTGGGAATGTGTGGGAATACAGAAGTAGGCAGGTTCCCCCTGGTTCAAAATAATGGAAGCGGAATGTTTAACTTCTTGAATACTCTGTTTTTCCAAAATGATTTTAGGTAGCTGATTATTTTTAGTAGAGGTAAACTTTAATGTGCTACAGGTAGCAGTTATTTTAGAGAAGATGTTTTTGAAGTACTTTTCCATAGGCCTTATAGTATTTCATTTTTTCCCCCCACTTTGTAGTAGAAAAATAAGGCATGTTGAAGTAGGGCTCCTGCCTCACAGACCTGGGCGCGGGCGGGGTGCACAGGTGCAGACAGAGTTGAAGCAGGAGTGGCACAAAACCGTACTTACCTTTACTGTGAGCGTCCCTCGAATGTTGCTTTGCTTCTCTGTAATATTCTACTTGACTGAGGAAAAAGAATCACCGGTTTTTGTCCCACTGCATTGATTTCACGGTCTGCTAACAGACCATATGAAAATCCCTGGGTTTCATGGCTTTCATTCTCACAAAGAAATCAGACTTTTTTTTCCCCCAGGGGCATTATTAAGCATTTCGTATATGAAGATACTTCTTTCATCTGGTTTCTACCACACAGGGTCCCAGGTTTCTCCTTTGTTTTGTTTTTTGGCCGAAGCCTAAATTGGGGATGCTGTTGAAATGCAGAATCCTGGGCTCCTGCCCACATATCTGCTCCTGGGCCCAGAAACCTGCGTTGTTGTTTTTTTTTTTTAAGAACTTTTCTCCCGTTTTGCTGTTCATTTTATTCTTGGCCACACCATGCCGCATGCGAGATCGTAGTTCCCCCACCGGGATGGAACCCGGACGCCATGCATTGGGAGCGCGGAGGCCTAACCACTGGACCTCCAGGGAAGCCCCCAGACCCGCGTCCGTAGCGAGCACCCGCGTCCCTGGGGCGCAGCAAGCTGGGAGCAGAGCCTGCAGCCGCTGGCTGGCCACGGGCTGGAGCGGTGCCCCCTGGGGACGGGCCTGGGCCAGCGGCCCGCCTGTGGGGGGACCGGCGCCCGGCCTGGCCTGCTCAGCCGCCTTCTTCTTGACCTGTCACCCAGGGAACAGATCCTCCGTGTTAAGGCAGAAGAAGATAAAGTCCCGCTGCTGGTGGCGGGGAACAAGTCTGACCTGCAGGAGCGGAGGCAGGTGCCGCTGGAGGAGGCCAGGGCCAAGGCCGAGGAGTGGGGCGTGCAGTACGTGGAGACCTCAGCCAAGACGCGGGCCAACGTGGACAAGGTGGGCCCCGCTCCCCCCTGCTGGTCCTGGGGAGCCGGGGGGGGGCACCTCGCGGGGGTCCTGGCGTCACACAAGCGGCACGGGGAGGGCGCGGCCTCCACAGACCCTGCCCTCGTGGCCTCAGCGGCCGGCGCCTCGGGGGCCCTTCATTTTGCCCTCGCTGGCGGGTTGGGTAGGTTTGTTCTCTTCGCCTCCCTGCCCACCGGCAGAGCCAAGGGGTCCAGTCTTTATAACTTCGTCTCTGCGTCCAGGGACCTCTCCCCTCTTCTCCACCCCCAGCGTAGTTTTTCGTTCAAATCTCTGAAGTGAAGGAAAGGATGACCTTGACAGTGCTGAACACCGATGGTTGGAAAACCCACCTTCCAGTGATTGCGATTGTGAGGCCTTCTTTTAAAAAGCTGAAGTTCAAATCGGTTGCCCCGGATCTAAAAGCTGAGGTCGTCTCTCTGCCGTCACGGCCTGGGTTCCCGTTAGACCGACGCGCGTCGCTTTGCAGCCAAGCCGTGGACGCGTCTGCGCCGTCTGGGCAGCACCTGAGTCCCTCACATCCCCTCTCCTTTCTCCTTTGCTTCTCACCTGAGGAGGAAGGGATTTGAAACCAGGTGTCACTTCAGCCTGCGGGGTTGCTGGAAGGACGCTGGTGTTGGAAGGCGTCTGCTTGGAAGCCTCTCCAACAATTCAGTCTGTTAAGCTGCATCCGCCACGCGACGCAGGTTCACTCGGCAGCTCCGTTTTGATTGCTGTCTCAGCTCTTACGTTGATTCTTGTGCATTTCCAAATCTTTCCGTTTCTATCAAATTGTTTTCTAGCTGTAGAATTAGAAAACACACAGGAAGTCCAGTCGTGCAGTTTATTTTTAAAAAATCAGGAAGACTTTCCGGGCTTGGAACAGCCGACCTGGGGGGTGGGAGCTGTCACACCGGCTTGTCACCTCCCCTTCCTGCCCGGGACCGGCCGGACCTGCCAAACGGGAACCAGCAGAAGCTGATGCCGGGCAGCGTTGTGTTCGCTGTGAACAGGTCACAGGAAAGGAGGTTGGCGATGAACAGCTTGGGCATCACGTGAAGCTGGACACACGCCCTTCCTTCCCCTCCCTCCGCCTGCCTTGTGCTGCTAGGACAAGGAAAAACCGGCGACATTCGAAGCTGTTCACGGTCCCTGTTATGGGGGAGGGGGTGCTTTCCTGAGAGGCTGAAGGAAAGGGGTGCTTAGGCCAGCCTGATGCAGTTTGGGGGGGTCCTTTCCTGCACCCTGAGCTAGTGGTGAGGGCTCGTGGAGTCCCCACTCAGAAAGCCCCGTCTCGCTTTCCTTTAGAAAGTAACAGGAGCCTGTTCTGCGCAAACGTCCAAAGGTCAAAGGCTACACTCAGTCTCACGCTTTCCGTCTTCTCTGTGAGAAATCTCAAGTCTTTCTTTGTAGGAGGCGTACTTTGGCTGCTGGCATGTAGTCGGTACCCGGGCGTGGTTACTGGTAGCAGGGGGCAAAACCCAGGCCACTGTGACAACTGATAGCATGCTGGCATTCAATGACACGTCTCATCAGCTGTTGATGAAGCCCCTGCAGCTGACATCGCGCGGAGCGGGGCAGGGAGGGGCAGACGTGGGGAGGGTGACACCCCCTCTGCCCCTCCGCCCCCCTGCCCTGCGTCGGGGGCCCCATTGTTTGTTCAAGCTGCATCCCCTCCTCCGCCCCACCTGCCACGTTCCCCAATCTGAGTCTGCCGTCGGGGTTAGGCTGCGAAGCCGTCCTACGTGATGGCGCTCGTGCCTTTAGGCTCAGGGCAGGACTCCTCAGCTCGGCGGAACGTGGCGGGGCCCTGAGGCGCTCTCCTCCCTTCCCTGTCCCCGTGGTTGGAAGCCAGGACGCCTGCTGACTGTTGTCACTCTCGGTGTCTCTAAGTGTTGTCGGTCTGTCCTGTGATGTTTCATCCTTCATCATACTTATCCCCAGAACAGGTTTCATCAGTTTGAAATAAGCTGCTGAGTGGTACTAATGGTATGACGCTGCTGCCCTTAGCTTGACCCGTTGTATGATGTGAGCAGAGAGGTTTCCTTTGTGGAATTAGAATACGTTTCTAACGTTAGTTGTTCTCTTCTGCTCTAGACCTTTTGTTTTTGGGGGTTTTTAAAAAATTAATTAATTTTTATTTTTGGCTGCATTGGGTCTTCGTTGCGGTGCGCGGGCTTCTCATTGCGGTGGCTTCTCTTGTTATGGAGTGTGGGCTCTAGGCTCACAGGTTTCGGTTGTTGTGGCACGCGGGCTCTAGAGCATAGGCTCAGTAGTTGTGGCGCATGGGCTTAGTTGCTCTGCGGCATGTGGGATCTTCCCGGACCAGGGCTCAAACCTGTGTCCCCTGCATTGGCAGGCGGACTTTTAACCACCACGCCACCAGGGAAGCCCTAGACCTTTTGTTTTTGATGGCCCATGGTTTTTAAGAATACATTTGGCTTTATATATATACTTTAAACTGTAATTACATATCCTGCTTGGTCGAATTGCTTCATTAGATCACTAAATGGCTTTTTCTTCCTTGTTCTTTTCACCCCTTCCTCCCCACCCCAGGTGTTCTTTGACCTCATGAGAGAGATCAGAGCAAAGAAGATGTCAGAAAACAAAGACAAGAACGGCAAGAAAAGCAGCAAGAACAAGAAAACTTTTAAAGAAAGATGTTGTTTACTGTGAAGGCCAGGGTGCTGGACCATGTCGCTCGCCACTAAGGACAGAGGGCAGGTTCCTCAAGCCAAGACTCCAGTCGACCTCTCGGCCTGTTCCCTGCTCTCCCCAACCTCATTCACACACGCTTCTGTAAATGGGGAAAATATTTGTGAACCAGTGGCTGGCAGAAGAAATAAGCCCTTGACTGTGCAATGGGATGGCTCCTCTGTCGGGAGGTTTCAGAGTTTCCTCCCTCTTTTCCTTCCTAAAATAAGCCACGTATGTAGTGCTACAGGCAGGCGTTAGCCAAGTGTTAATTAAGAAGGACTTTCCTAACTTCTTACTTTTCCCCCAGTTTTGTAACATAGCGTCTTTTGTTTTGAAATAAAAGTGTCTTATTTTATTAGGTCTTGGGAGGCGAGGGTGGGGTGAGGCTACCCCCACCCTTGTCAGCTCAACAGTAGTTCTCAGAAACATCCATTAGGTTCTAATGACGCTGGAAAATTCGGAGATTTTTGGGGGTCTCTTGGCCATACCCTGTGGATCTGAAGCAGAGCTAAAAAAATAAAGTTGAATGGGGCCAAACAGATCAACACCAAGCCCAGAAATCCTTCTCAATAGGAAAGAAGGAAGAGTTGTACCCTTCGTAGTTAAGTATCAGCCAGTTATAGTCTGTGTTGGCCGCTTTTCTCCTGTGGCATTCTGATTTTTGTGTAGGAGCTTCTTTTTTAATAAGCGACATGAGGACTCAAGAGCAATACACTGTATAAATGATATACTTTTCTAATCAGAATTTTAAAACGAAGTCCTTTGGCTAAATCCTCTCGTAATTGCCAGTCATAAGGTCAGGGCCCTCCTTCTCCATCCGCAACCCACGCTCTGTCCTGACCCACTCCTCCTGGTGCAGGCTGAGAGGACCTTTTCTTTTGTTTCTTTCAGTGTAGCCCAAGTTCCTCTGAAGAACGTGATGACTTAAGATTGTGTTCTAAACTCATGAAGCCAGAGCCTGTGCCAGACACCTGCTACCTCTCATAGAATTGCTCAGTAAATTCAGAAGTGGAGACGCCACTGCCCCTTTACCTCTGAGAACTGGCTGCTGTTTCTAATATAAATTTGTTTCTGAGACAGCCATCTCGTTAGTTAGACAAAGATTTTTATGGATGAGATATTGTCTTTCTTGTGTCAATATTCTGAATTCAGCAGTCAGAAAATTTTTCATGAGCAAAGGAGGACAGCCATAAAAACCTAGTGCTCAGCATACTTTTCCCCATTTTTCAGAAGTGATATTTCACATATAGGTGCCAAAAGTGAATTGGGGTGGGGAGAATGGGAACCCTTGGAATTTATGGTTATTACAGAAATTGTAGAAATTATGATCTGACCGGAAAACAAACACTCTTGTATCACCTCCCAAAGAATCGTGGGCTTTTTTTCAATTAAAAAAAGCAGAAATTTACAGTTTTTCAGAATTTCAGCCTTCTTATTTTATCCTTTTGTCATATATGTAAAATGTAAGTATTAAAGAAATGGACAGGTATTCATTATCGTTCTTGTTAGATGTTCTGCAAACTTTATTTCAGTTAATTTTTTGAATTGGGCTGGGGGAAATTTATAAGTATAAACAGTAACTTTAGTTTCATCTTTCCTTTGGAAGAGATGACTACTCTTCTTTAAATTTAAAAAGTTGAAGGTAATCACACTCTTGCATTTTTTGAAACAACCTTTTTCTTTTCCTCCTAGTTTGCCACCTGTTTGATATCAGTTCTGGTCGAGAGTAGGTAGGTTTGGAATATGTACACATAAATTAAGGATGGTATGAATTGTTCCCTGCTATGGAAATTATTCTTAGTTTATGCCATTAGTGTATTTCTGAAATTATATTTAACTGGATAGTGATCAGAAATGGATCTTCCCAACAAAATGATTTATAGAGATGAGATTCTTTTCCATAGGAAAATAAGGAAGCAATGTTCTTTATAAATTTGAAACATACTACCTTGCTAAATGACTAGATATTGTGTCCATAGGGTAACTATTTTCCTGAAGTCTTCTTTCTAGAAATATTTGAGCACCTGCTTGGTGTCAGGCTCTATTCCAAGTGCTGCAATATTGTGTTGAACAAGATAGGCCAGAGCTCTATTCTCCTGGAGCTTATGCGTTAGTGAGGAAAGAGACAAATAATTGAAAATATCACAGAAAGTGCTTTGATGATCATAGAACTGGGTAATAGGATAGGAAATGTTTCTGGGCCATAGAGCTGATTTCAACTGGATGGTCAACAAGTGTCTGAAAGGGAGTGACATTTAAGCTGAGACCTGAAGGAGCCATGTGAGCTCCCAGGCTTGGGAGCAGCTGGTCCGGAGGCCCTCACTCAGGTGTTCGGGAAAAGACCCTAGAGGCCAGCACATGGCTGCAGTGTGATGAGTGGCAGAGCAGTAGAAAAAGACCTAACAAACAGGCGATAGATTCAAAAAGTGATGCAGGGGAACAATACCTAGATGTATAATTCCCTACAAGTGTCCTAGTTCATCAAATAGCAGACACCACTGATGATAAGACATCACCATAATTTATGTACCACTAAGGAAAAACTTGCCAAATTATGTGACTCCATCCTGACACCAGTGACATGAATATGTGGGGGAAAAAATAGATGCTGTAGGTTAGGCAAATGATATATAAATTTAAACTAAATGGAATTGGGGTATAAGATTCACCTATGTTGGTCTAAACACTATATTATAATAAAATAGTATAGAAGCTTAACAGTGGATAAGTATTAACAGTGGGAAAGTACCCCACGGTGTAGGCGGGGGTGAGGGCAGTGCCAACAACAGTGTACCTTGTGAGCCTGCACAACGGGTGACAGGTGGCACCACAGAGCACACTCACAGGTGGACAGCTCCAGTGGAGGAGTCCTCATCCTCTCCCAGTGGGAGTGCCCCAATCCCTCCTACCTTGCACCGCATCTCAGAAACACAGCTCAGAAATGGGCTGGGGCTTCTACTCCAACAGCTAGGAAGCAGACCCCACCCCTGACAGGGCTGCGACAGTCACAGAGCAAATAGGAGGTGCTGGGTAACATCCGGTGCAGGCTCTGGTCACAACACCAGTCACACCCCTGTCAAGCTGGTAACGGCACATGCCGAGGAAGGAGGCAACAGGCACCCACACTAAAAGCAGCCCTGGCACCGAAAATATTAAACCCATGCAGGCTACACAGGGATGCTCCCACATTAAAATAGCCCTCCAAGACCACAGTAGATCATTGTTTCTCCTAAACTAATAGAGCAAGAGAAATACAAGTAAAATGAAGCATCACAGGAACCACTCCCAGTGAAAAGATCAAGAGAGCGCCCGTGAGAAAACAATGAAATGGAGTCTAACAACAGACACCACGTTCAAAAAGGAGGTAGTGAAAGTACTGAAGGAATTAAGAAAGGCTATTGACAGAAATGCAGAGTACTGTAAAAAGGAACTAGAAGGAGGAGCCAAGAAAACTTAGAAACCATTTGCTGAGATGAAAGCTGAGCTCAAGGCAGTGAACAGAAGAATGAATAATGCAGAAGAACAAATAAGTGATCTGAAAGAGAGAATAATGGAAATCACCCAGCCAGGACAGCAGACAGGAAGCCAAATGAAAAAAAAAAGCAATCATCTAAGAGACTTACAGGATAATATAAAGTGTGCCAATCTATGCATAATAAGGATTCTAGAAGGAGAAGAAAGAGGATTGAAAATGTATTTGAAGAAATTATGGCTGAAAACTTCCCAAACCTAAAGAAGGAAACATATCCAGATACAGGAAGCACAGAGGGTCCCCAAAAAGATGAACACTACAGACCTACACCAAGACATCATATAATTAAAATGGCAAGTTAAAGAGGATTCTGAAGGCAGCAAGAGAAAAACAAAGAGTTAATTACCAGGGAACCCCCCCCATAAGGCTATCAGCTGGTTTCTCTACAGAAGTGCCGCAGGCCAGGAGGGAGATGCAAAATATGTTCAAAGAAGTCCTAAGGGAAAAATCCACAACCTAGGAAACTCTACGCAGCAAGATTATTTAGAATAGAAGGAGAGAGAAAGAATTTCTCAGACAAGCAAAAACTAAGAGAATACAGCAATACTAAACCTACTCTAAAGGAAATATTGGAAGGTCTTCTCCAAATATAAAAGAAGCAAGAAGCCATAGGAAAGAGGAAATCACAATTGGAAAGTAAATCACTTAAGCCAGTATACAGATTAAAAGGAAAAAAAATCAAAATTCTTATGAAAGCAATGATAAGCACAATGAACAGCAAAAGGATAAACATGAAGATGTAAAGGAGGACATCAAAATCATAAAATGTGGAGGAGGAGAGTAAGAAAATGTAGATTTTTTTCTTTGTTTTAGAATGTGATTGAACCTATATGACTGTCGTCTAAAGCAAGCAGATACAGGAAGTGGTTAACATACTTGAAAAACAGGGTAACCACAAATCAAAAACATAATTGATTCACAAACACCAAAAAGAAGAGAACACAAGCATAGTATAAAAGGAACACATCAAACCACAAAAGGAGAAAAAGAGGAACAAAGAAGAAACACAGAATCAACTGGAAAACAAGGCTGAACTGCCAATAAATAAATACATATTTATCAATATTAGCTTAAATGTCAATGGACTAAATGTTCCAATCAAGAGACAGAGAGTGGCACATTGGATAATAAAACAAGAGCCTACAATATGCTGTCTACAAGAGACCCACTTTAGGGTAAAGGACAGACACAGACTGAAAGTGAGGGAGTGCAAAAAAGATACCTCCTGCAAACAGAAATGACAAGAAAGTGGGGTGTCACAATACTCATGTCAGACAAAACAGACTAAAACAAAGGCCATAAAGAAAGATAAAGGACACTATAGAATGATAAAAGGAGCAATACAAGAAGAGGATTTTACACTTGTCAACATATATGCACCTAACATAGGAGCACCCAAATACATAAATACTAAGACATAAAGGGAGAAATTGACAGGAATACAATAGTAGTAGGAGACTAACACCACACGTCAATGGACAGATCTTCCAGACAGAGAATCGATAAGGCAACAGAGATCCTAAATGTTACAGTAGAACAGTCAGACTTAATTGATATTTTCAGGACATTACCTCCCTCCCAAAACCAGAATATACATTCTTTTCAAGTGCACATGGAACATTCTCTAGGACTGACCATATACTAGGGCACAGAACAAATCTTGAATTTAAGAATACAGAAATTATTTCAAGCATCTTTTCTGACCGCAGTGGGATGGAACTACAGATCAACCTCAGAAAAAGAAAAGAGAAAAAAACGATTACATGGAAACTAAACAACATGCTATTAAAAAAAAAAGGGTCAATGAGGAAATCAAAGGAAATTTTAAAATACCTTGAGACAAATGACAATGAAAACACAACCATACAAAATCTATGGGATGCAGCAAAAGTATTTCTTAGAGGGAAGTTCATAGCAATACAACCCGTTCTCAAGAAACAAGAAAAATCTCAAACGACCTAACCTACCGCCTAAAAGAATTAGAAAAAGAAGAACAAACAAAGCCTAAAGTCAGCAGAAGGAAGGAAATAATCAAGATCAGAGAGGAAATAAATAAAATAGAGATTTTAGAAACAATAGGAAAAAATCAATAAAACCAAGAGCTGGTTCTTTGAAAGGGTAAACAAAATTGACAAACCTATGGCCAGGCTCACCAAGAAGAGAAGACAGAGAACCCAAATAAAATAAGAAATGAGAAAGAAGTAACATCAGTCGATACTGCAGAAATACAAAATATCATAAGAGAATAAAATGAACAATTATAAGCCAACAAATTTGACAACTTAGAAGAAATGGAAAAGTTTCTAGAAACATACAGTCCACCTATATTGAATCAAGAAGAAATAGATAATTTGAACAGACCAATTACTAGAAGTGAAATAGAATCTGTTAAAAAACAAACAAACAAAAACCAAAGAAACTCCCTACGAATGAAAGTCCAGGACCAGATGGCTTCACAGTTGAATTCTACCAAACATACAAAGAAGAATTTATACCAGTCCTTCTCAAACTCTTCCAAAAGATTGAAGAGGAAGGAACATTCCCAAAGACATTCTGTGAAGCCACCAGCACCCTAATACCAAAACCAGACAAAGATACCACCAAAAAAAATTACAGGCCAATATCTTTGATGAATATAGATGCAAAAATTCTCAACAGAATAGTAGCAAATCGAAACCAACAGCACATAAAAAAGATCATACACCACAACCAAATTGGATTCATCCCAAATTCACAAGGATGGTTCAACATATGCAAATCAATTAGTGTGATATACTACAGCAACAAAAGACAAAAACCACATGATCATCTCAATAGATGCAGAAAGTTGGAAGGAAAGAGGTAAAATTGTCATTATATGCAGATGACATGAAACTATTTATAGAAAACCCTAAAGACTCCACACAAAAGCTACTGGAACTGATAAATGAACTCAGCAAGGTGGTAGGATACAAGAT